ACTTAGCAGTTTATTGTTATTTTCCTTTTTATTTCCCTCTTTCCATTTTGTCTATGCTCCCAATTTTTATCTATTTTTTTTCTTTAACATTTTTTCGTCTATTTCTTTTATCTACTTTTCCATTTTTACCCTTTATTAACTTTTCTTGTCTTACTCTGATACCAATCTTTTTCTTTCTTTTTGATTGATTTAACCTTATGATATCTGATTTTTGTGATATTTACTTGCTTCCCTTGCTTACTTATTCTTCGCTGTTTATTTTCTGTCGGTTTCTTGTCTTTATGCGGTCTATATCTCTGCCTGATTTCTTCGAACCTCGACCATCCTTCCTTGAATCCACTAAAGCAATTGATGTTTATTACGTTGTTTTTCTTGATCGACTCAAATCTAAACCAGCGCCATTCATCATTGCATATTCCCCAATTTCTTGTTCTGCCTTTGACTTTGATCTATTCTGTCGTCCTAACTCAGCCCACCTTTTCGATTCATGGACTCCTGAAACCTTGCTTCGGACTCAGATTTTGGCTCTTCTGATTTATATTTGCCTATCCTCGGCGTACTGAAACGGCCCATCACGACTTATAATCTGATGAATCTTCTGCCTTGAGGTCATCCGCTTCTGCCTTCGGTCGTCGAGTTTGGCTTTGTCGTGGACGCATCTGCCCACGCGGTTTCTGGCACATCTCCCACCAGTAGGGTTTATGGCACTTCCGGCAACTTGTACCTCTTTTCGCCTCTTCATTTGAGGCCGGTCCCTCCCTCAAATCAGACCCACTCTCATACAACCTCATCCAGCCGTTCACATCAGGCCTAGCAGGCGCATTGCCTCAGTCACGCCTGCTCCACGTCTGCTACTCGTCTTCTCTGGCCACACAATTTGACGCATGTTGCCAGGGTGTTTAGGACAAATTTACACTTCTAAAATGGCCTTACAGGACCTGACACGCCTTAACAACCGACGCAAAACCCCATCACAAAAATCAAGCGAGTCCTACGTGTAACTATGCCAGCGAACTCACAAATGGCAATTCATCTAATCATTTCGTTAAGAATATGTCTTCACCAAATCTTGTAATTCGAATTTCCCTTTCGAAGGCCAAGTTGACTGTAAGGAATTCCTACATTGGTCGCTTTGACAACCGAATAAGGATTACTGTGGAATGGAAGGCCGAGTGCGAAATAGTCATAAGAGTCTATTAATCTGTGCTCGGGTCCCACAGCAGCACTTCTTCAGTTGTCGGTGCAATAAAACACAAAGTCCCTCCAACAAATTTTTCTTTCGAAATGTAAACTTTTGTCTCAATAACTCACTAAATTAATATTCGAAACCTGATTTTCTTCATTGATCAAATAGTGCCTGAGTCAAAGGCTTAACAACAAAATTTTATTTTACTTTTAGAGTCAACAATTTAAGCACTACTTAAGTGTCAAAATGAGTAGTTATCTTAGGCAGTTGCCTGGGTACAAATGCCAGGTTAATACTTTGTGTAGAATATCTTTTTACAGGAATACCAATTATAAGACCCATGAAGACCTATAAAAGTTTTCCCAAATTTTATTTGCAATCTTCCACTTTATTCGTCTCTCATGACCAGAAGTCTCCTAAAAACGGGGATAAATGAAGCGTAAGGTCATGCAAATTATAACGTTTTTGAAATAAACCGGTATTTAAAGACATTTTGGAATGTGAAACATATTCATCTGCCTGTATCAAACTTCACTATAACTTCATCATCACCTCGATCGACTAATGGTAACTACAGGTCTTATGGCATTCTCAAAGACTGATTCAAATGTTCAAAGGTATCCTACTGAGCCCCTGAAAGCTGGACGCATTCTCTCATTTCATCCTAATTTTGAGCAGCGAATGCCGTTGTTGTAGGGTTCTTTGAGTTATTCTGCTCATGGAACAGTCTTCAAGACGGATATGCCACTGATGGGAATGGTTCTTTCGCGATAAAACCCATGCCGTAGAGAGCGACAGATGCATGCTCGAATTCTGGTTTGACTGTATGCTCTTACCTCGTTTCATACTAACATCCCTCCTTATTATCATAATCATAATCCTGATCATCCTCAGCAGCAGCATTATCGTTACCACCACCACTAACTACCCCATTCTCATACTCATCATCATCATCACCTCCAGTATTATTAATGTTATTGTTATTATTATCATCATCATATTCATTGTCTTCCTCATTATCAGTATCATCCTTCACATCACCAATTATATCATCATCAGCATCAGCAGCAGCACGATTATTATCATTATTTTATTCATAATTAACAGTACCATCATCCACATCACCATTTTTATCAGCATCGTCAGTAGCAACAGCAGCACCATCCCCATCACATTCTCCGTCATCATCGTCGTAGTCGTCATGATAGGGGCATGTAGAAAAGGACAATGCTGTTCTGACATAAAGAAGAAAATGCGCAAAAGTCTCACCAGCACAGAGACCGTTTTTGCCAACTCAACAAAGCACTGAAATGCTCTAAAATGGCACGTCAAGACACTTTTGACGTGAACAATGCATTTATACATTAATGCTTTAATATTATATTTTTCGAATTAAGTATTGTTTTCGTGACTACCAGTAAATCAGTAGTATGAGGTGTATTAACCCAATTTCGTTTGAGGTGATGAAGGACTGTTAGAAGAAGAATTTTCCTACAATGATATGAGTTGAGTTGACGTTTCAATTGAATTTTCTATTTCACAGAGAGGGCTACTTAATACCCACATAGTAATCTCGTCAAATTAGCAAAAAAATGGAGCTTGCTCTGTCGACACAAGTCCGACTACAAACGTGATTTAGGCAATATCCGATCATCCTTATGTGGCTGGGTAGCGATGATGGTACTTGGTGCGGATGGCTCAGTTTAGAATTATGTTGGAGTTGTTGCTGTGTCTTAGGAGATGCGGCAGCTATGGTCAAATTGACTGGCGCCCAAGGTGTTTTTACTCATTTCCTTGTAGGAAATTCGGCTTTAAGGCATTACATTGGTCAGAGCAGCCAGAGTCTTCTTCTATCTACATAAATTGATCTACTGATACCCATAGAGCACAATCATCTGGCATAAAAATATCCCAATAGACGATATCAAATGTATTGTCCTACCAAAACACAACATATAAACATAATTTCGCGTTTACTCCTTCGCCAACACTTTAAGCAACCCAACATTTTTTCGGTGGGAAACGCTCGAGACACAATCTGGCATTGCAGCTTGTGGGACAAAGTGACCAGTTGAGTGGCGCAATCGTCGAGC